ACACGTGAACAATCGGCGGACTGCATTATAGTACATCATTAATCAATTAATATTCCATTCATTTATTTCACCTGTCAACTAACTTTTCAAACTCTTCTTCACAAGGAATATTACAGTAAATGTAACTAGTTTCTTTGGCTCTCCACTTGTGGATTTACAATAGTTAGTTGGATGTCAACATGAACTGACATACCATTTTATCACAGAAGCTACACTGTTTTCTCCACATTTCTTTACTACGGTTTGAAGAACTATCACTCATTATTTGGTAAACGACTATATTTTTACCATCTCTGTAAGGTGTTGATTAACATAATCAATAAAACTATCTTGTGCTACTCAGATAACGAATGATCATCAGTACAATTACTAAAGCATCACAAAGCATGGCTTAACTTTTAATCCTGAAGGCACAAATAAAACAGATTAAGTAAGTAAGTAAAGTAAGTAAGTAAGTAAGTAAGTAAGTAAGTAAGTAAGTAAGTAAGTAAGTAAGTAAGTAAGTAAGTAAGTAAGTAAGTAAGTAAGTAAGTAAGTAAGTAAGTAAGTAAGTAAGTAAGTAAGTAAGTAAGTAAGTAAGTAAGTAAGTAAGTAAGTAAGTAAGTAAGTAAGTAAGTAAGTAAGTAAGTAAGTAAGTAAGTAAGTAAGTAAGTAAGTAAGTAAGTAAGTAAGTAAGTAAGTAAGTAAGTAAGTAAGTAAGTAAGTAAGTAAGTAAGTAAGTAAGTAAGTAAGTAAGTAAGTAAGTAAGTAAGTAAGTAAGTAAGTAAGTAAGTAAGTAAGTAAGTAAGTAAGTAAGTAAGTAAGTAAGTAAGTAAGTAAGTAAGTAAGTAAGTAAGTAAGTAAGTAAGTAAGTAAGTAAGTAAGTAAGTAAGTAAGTAAGTAAGTAAGTAAGTAAGTAAGTAAGTAAGTAAGTAAGTAAGTAAGTAAGTAAGTAAGTAAGTAAGTAAGTAAGTAAGTAAGTAAGTAAGTAAGTAAGTAAGTAAGTAAGTAAGTAAGTAAGTAAGTAAGTAAGTAAGTAAGTAAGTAAGTAAGTAAGTAAGTAAGTAAGTAAGTAAGTAAGTAAGTAAGTAAGTAAGTAGAAAATGTTACTAATTATCTAACTTTTAGTGATCTGAGATTATGTTATCTACCAAAAGTAAAGTTTGGATTTAACAATATTCATAAAACAAATTTTATTTAGAAAAACAAACATTGTTACTATCCAAATTGACTTAATTAACGTAATAGGGGGATACTAAATTAGTGAATAAAAACATAGGTGTTAATATGAAGTATAGTGAATAGTGAAATGATATGATTAATTGATCAAAATTTATAACATAATTAAATACAATGTAAATGTGTTAATTTTTGCAGTGTTTCGTTCTTTCGTCTTATTATAGATAAAAACGTTGTGGAATCTACTACTAATTAATATGTTATAGTATATTTATATGTAAGATAAGATTTGTCTTATTAAAATAAGAAATTCAACTTCATGCTATATGTAATCGATATAAGGCCTTATGATACTAACTGATTGTATAAACAGAAAAAGAAGGAATGGGGGATCAAATTCGTATCTTAGTAATTGAAAGTCATGTATCTTAAGAACTCTACACTATCACACTTATAGATTATACAACATCAATATTTACATAGAGCTTTAACATTTTATATGAGGAGTATTAGGTAACAATGGCAAATCAGTTGATGAAGTAGTGAATCGTTATCGACTGAAGGGGTTGGGACATGTATTACATGTGCTCAACCATCACCTACCTCAATGTGGAATGTGTATTATATATTTATTTATTTCAACACATAAATATTGATACAAAGGGGCACCATAGATATATATGCGCCACACAATAATAAGAAGAATGCGAAGATATAAAGAATGTAAGGCGCGTATAAGAAAAAAGAAGTACAACAATGAACGGAAATTAGTGTATGATAATGAAAGGACCAGTTCTAATAGCAAAAGTACAGCCATAGAGAATTCTTCCACTTAAGGAGGTTGCGTATTTTTTTTAACAAGAAAGTAAAATAAAGTTACAGCACGATCGCCAATGGCTTCTATTCTGAGCCATATCTGATAACGTTTCTAGCCACTATGTTGCACCATCTCTAGGACCCCGATCAGGGAGTCGTGAAGGACCGACAGAAGTCAGTCCTGTACGGCTTTCTTTCATACCACGACACCACGTCATACGCTAACCACCTCTCCACCTTTTCCAACCAGTCCCAGAGTCGGCAAATAATGCACGACATGGAATTCTCTGAGACGACATTCGTAGAACATGTCCAAGCTACCGAAATCGATGTTTCAAGATGGTGACACGAATTACATTATCGTCTCTGTGCCCGAACACACGATGCCGAACCTCTGCATTACTAACATGGTGTTGCCGCCGGATGTCAGCAATCCTTCGGAGACAGCGATGATCGAACACAGAAAGTCGTCTAACGTCCTCAACTCGGAGGCCAGGTTTTACAAGCATAGAGCAAAACTACTCTCAGCGACGCGTTGTACATCCGATCTTTTACAGCCAAACTGACATCACGAAGGCGCTAAAGATGGTCCAGATTGGCATAAGCCGCTCTGGCTTTCACTATACGTGAATTGATCTCATCACTCTCGTCACGACCAGCACTTATGCAGCTACCCAGATACACGAACTTCTCGACTACTTCTATCTGCTCATTGCCCAGGGTGAGTGCAGGATCAGGGTCCTGTCAGTCTTGTAAAAGTACTTTGCGCTTGGAAGGTGCGAAGCACATACCATACCTAAGGACTCTAATGTGTGGTGTTATATGAGTAAATTAGAGGAAATCTAAAGGCTTCAACACAAAGACATGACAACTACTCAAGGAGTCATTGAAATTATGACTAAGCCGTGAATTTAGGTGCAAATTAGCTAAAAAGAGTCCTCACAATGATTAAAATCAATAGTTGATGTTTGGTAATACGACTGGGTGGGATTAGATAGTGAATTCACTTTTTTTTTCTTTCCCCAAATCTTGAGTTTTAAAAATATTTTATACTTTTAATTCAAGAAGTTCATTTTTTCTTGAATCATGTTTTTCATGCCTAATCTTCTCTACTATCGGCGATACTGTTACCCATTCTATTTCTCTATGATTAATCGTGAACCGATGTACAAATATTCCAGGTTTCATGCTATATTTAACTAAACAATTTACAAACTTCAGTAAATAACTTTAACACCAAGCTGATTAAAAATGAACAAATACAACTAATAATTAATTACCTTGACCAACTATTTGTATCTGAAGTGATTACATCTTGAAAAGAATATGGACTATCCAATGAAGAATTTGTACATTTGCAACGATCCAATGACGAAATAAGTGAAGAATTATTAACAGAATTTGATTGAATATTATGTTGATCGGTTGAATTATTTACATTATTACTATTGCCTTGTTCATTTTGACCATCATATACATTTCTTTCATCAACTGCGAAATACTGTGGTTGTTGTGCATAACGGCATACAGCACTATCGGCATCACATGCTGAAGTATATTTACTGTTAACAGAGCACATATGTCTAGATGAATTGGATAGGAGTGAAGATCCACATGATGATATCGATGAAGATGAAGAGGACTGAACAGCTTGAATAATATCTTGTGGATTGCGACTCATTAAATTTCCTAACATGGCAGCAACTGAAGACGAAGCAGATTTACCACCATTACCGCCCGCCGCAGCGGCAGCTGCTGCCATTGGTTGAGAGAAAATAGCACCTAAGCATTAAAAAAACAAAATATCAGTCGACATTTACGAATGATGAACAGAGACAGACTTAAACGCTTGTCTGTAGTAAGCAATTTCAGAAGTTGAAAGTAGTCAAACATAATAGTATTGTCTTGAATAGTTCATATCAAGTTCTTAGTAGTGTGACTGGAAATTATATTTAGTGAGCAGGTAAGTAAACACTATGATAAACAGATACTCAGTGGTTTAATTTTATCCCTATCACCTGCCCTGAATTTTATTTGGATTTAATCATTTTTGAGTGAAACACATCATATTACAGAGAGAGAACTCGTATTGCCTGGTACTTATGTACAGCAATTCAAGTTCCCATACCCCAATAGCATAAAGAGATGACAACGTCAGGCCAAATCCCTGAACAATAGAGGTTGTAATAGTATCATTGATAATACGATTGAAGAAAAAAATAAATTGGTGAAACAGAAACAAAAGTTATGAGGAATTTATAGTGTGGGGGAAGACAAAGAACGGGTTCACCTGCGCCATCGCAAACGATTTTGAGTCCCTAACCATTAGTTATAATAGTCACGCGGACCCCAACCAGGTAGTCTACACCTATTACTATGACTAAGTCCAATTGTAAATGACTTCATGGACTGATGCCATCTTTGGGTTTGGCCACCCCTAAATTCCTTCCAGCCCACTCATGAAGCAGGAAACATCGCCCATCGAGGTAGGTGGTGGTTGGGCATACGTGACACACGTTCCCTAATAAGTCTGAATAGTTGACTCTTGTTACCTATTGCCACTGCTTTTTTTATCTCTTCTGCTTTCGCTACCCAGCATCACCCACGATCATTACGTAGGCTGTTTATCAGACTACGTTTAAGCTGCCTCTGCTCTTTATCGTGTTCGGAGTCAGACGGGATGAGTTTCCGAGCATCTGTCAGCATAATAAAGGTCGCTGGAACCCACTGATTTTTCTATGACCTTTGGTGTAAGTTATTAGCAGACATCACTGCTATTCCTATAGATTGGTAGCTATCATACTAAACGAATTTAGGGTAGATATTACTTTCACATTTGATTCACTCATCTTTAGTTGTTCCTGAAATATATTCTTTACTTGTTCATTATTAAGTCGAACTATATGGAGTTTTCCGGCTGCGGCTTTTCTACGTCCAGTAGGATACAGACAAATAAGTGATCGAACAAGGGCATTATCAGAGTCTAAACATGTGCTCCCGAATGAGGAACAGTCTTCTATCGAGCTCCTCCAACGATGGCTAACAGCAATGTGATCTATTTGAGTTCATTTATGAGTCAACTGTGGTGGTCGCCAAATCAAATCATATTTGGCCTTATGTTTAAAGTTGGTGTTCGCTAGAAATAGACAATTATCTGAAGATAGTTGCAACAGACGATAGCCATTATCTATTCGCTGAGCCACAACGTCGCAAGATCCGACTAAATGTCTTTCAGTTTGGTTTAGTTGACCTATTTGTGTACTAAAACCCCTCGCCACGATTATCACATCAGCATTTGCAGCTTTTTGTAAAAGGTTGGACAGCTTTCTATAAAATTTAACTTTATCTGAGCTGCAAGCAGTGGGAGCGTAGGTAGAGACAACTATGAGGCAATGGCATGTATCTCCATCTTGTCGAGTTCTTAATGTCTCGTTTAGTCGGACAAATCGCATGTGACTGTCTATTGGAATTCACTCTGAAACTGTTCTGTTTTAGAAACTAATGCTACACCCACACCAACAAGGCCATGGGAAGAAGCAATTGGGTCTCCAGATACACGAAGGGTAAATCGTGCTCGTTCTTCATATTACGAAAGTGAGGTCAAATGAATGAATTGATTCCACAACTAAACGTCGAAGCAACATCGATTTGATATTTGAGTGACATAGTGAAATATGAAAAAAATCTTCAGAATGTATTCCACACATTTTATGTACAAAATGTAGTGAAGTTTAAGAATACGAGAAAACTTGAGAGACTACTGAAATGTTGAAAATTTCTGATCAAGTTCATCCAACGAGGAAATAGATAGTTTCAGTGAATGGTTTATAATGCAATATAAGAAGTTACAAATAAAATAGTTTTTTTAATCTTTAGTGAACATTCTAAGTTAGCTTTAGGTTACTTTGTCTCAAATTAAACACTGTTCGCAGAGAATAGTTTTAGTTCTAAAAAACAATAGAACGAAATATCACTCCGACATGAGTCCCGTTGAACTGATAAACAACCATCTTAACACCAATCACAGAGGAATGTTTTTCTTAACAATTCAAAGTTTTGTAAGTGTCTGATGATGACATCTTTCTCATTATGATTAGTTACTGTCTTGAATAGTTAGTAAAATGATTGACATATGTGCCGTGACCTTGAAACTGCCAAGTTGTCTCCGATTGCAAAATCCATGCTTAGATTGATTCAAGTATGTTCTTATTTATTTATTTATTTAAACACATAAACATTCGCACAACGAGGCACCAAATGCATATGCGCCACATAAATCACTTGATTTGTGTGAAGGCTGAGATACTGCTTGGGTGCCCGAACCGAAGTAGGTATTTTTCTTAGGAGGCCGCACCCAGAGCCTTCGATATGAAGGTCTTATCCACAAGGCAGTGGAGTAGTGTAAGGAGATGCAGTCCCATGGTAGCCGATGACCAACAGTAGGTTCATATGCCATTTATTCCTTCAGGATACTGGAGCCCATGTGCGTCATTGGTTTGGAATCATTGTTTTACAACTCCTCTAGGTGGATCCTCTGTATCCACTAACCCGGCTAAAGCGCCGTACATTCGCTTTTCGTCCTTTCAATTTCGTAAACAACAGTAACGCCGTGAGAGGGCAGTAAGTAGGATTTCCTGACAGTGGTTGTATGCACGTGGCCACTTGGAAGCATTTCGAGAGGGAGAGCTGGTTTTCTCCACTCTCGGCTGTACTAGGGCATTTGGGGGTTAATAATAAAGTCAAAATCTTGATCATTAGAAAAGACAAACAGAATCCTTAAGTAAACAATTTTAAAGAGGATGATCGTTAGTAAGATAGAACGCCGACTATTGTATTCTTTTAGTTACGATCAAACTAAACCACCGTGAGTGGTATGTTTTCAAGATACTAGAAGATTCTTATATATATTTCTCAATATTTGTTCCGATTTGGAAAGAATCAAGTGATGTATATTATGTCCGAAGACTACCCGACAGTGAAGGAACATAACAATGGTAACCATAACAAAGTCGGAAACATATATTTATCTTAACAAAATATTAACGTACCTATACAAGCTGCTGCCGCAACAGCAGCGGCTGTTTTAGCTTGTTCTTCATCAGCTGGATTTAAATAATCGGATGATGAAGAACCTGGATATGCCATAGATGATGATTCAGATGATGATGTAGGCTTTTTAGAGTTATTATTACTAGGGTTATTGTTATTATTATTATCTGATGTATATGTGGATTCTCTAGTTGAATGACTTTGAGTACAAGTAGTAGTTCCTGTATTTATAGTTGTCGTCATTATAGGATTAATATTATCATGTTTCATATTCGATAAACAAGATGAATCATGACAAGAACATGATTCGTTATTAATTAAAGTTGCATTATTATTATTATTAGTAGTAGTACTAGTAGTATTACTATTACTGGTATTTATATTAGCAGTAGGACTAAAGAAATTGGACTCAGGACCCAATTCATTAGATTTTATTTGAACATTGGGAATCACAGAACAACACTAAAAAAGGATTCGAACGGGAAAAGAAAAGAGGACATTAATACATATATTGCAACAATAATAAAGTTAATACTAATTCAGTGACGCTTTCGGTAAAAATATTACAAATTCCAACTTGCCCAACATAAATGTATATTAAATAAAACTTATCAACAAATATATGACCCAGGTTAAACCGATGTCAAAGAAAATAACAGTTCCCAGAAAGCCAGCTATTTCGAGACTACAGTCCTTAAATATCAGTCAACTAAAACATAGGACCAGGCACATACATGCATCGGTCCAACTTCCCAAACCTCACTCATTAGTACAGCAAGATTAACACTGGATTCATAGAAGCAGTTAACTCAATGGTGGTAATATATAAAAGAAAGATTGCATATAAGAACATAGTACAGGAAGAAAGAATAAGTTCGTAGAAAGAAAGATGTCAAGCGATTTTAATCTTATAGTTTAAGGGAAGATAGAGAGTGAATACACCTACACCATTATGATCGATTCTGGGCCATGTCACTCACAGTCTCCAACCATTAGTCACTGTAGTCACTCGGACCCCAACCCAGTAGTCTGCATCTACCAACATGGCTAAGACTAGAAGTTTGTGACTTCAAGCACTGATGCAACGTTTTGGTTTGGCCGCCTCTAACTTTCTTCCAACCATCTTCAACACTAGTCAGCATTGCGCGTCGTCTTTGGATGACAATCCCAGAAGTCATGTTGCAACGTGAAACAAAGGTATTGTGAGAAATATTTACTGCAGTTAAACGATATAGTCTGTCCTACAATCATCCAACCATAAGAACCTGAAATAAACATAGACTTCGTAAATTCGTATCATCTATGTGCATTTATTAGTTCAACTGTTTCAGTGGAGCTAGTTACATATGGTGTACAAGTAGACAAGTTCATAATTGAATTTTTGAACATCATTGAACACAGTTAGTTAAGGGAAAATCAATATTCCGTATCTTATGAAAATTCCGTCAGCCCTCATGACAGATACTCTGTCAATACTAAATCTAAACACTTCAATTAATATATATATATATATATATATATATATATATATATATATATATATGAGAGAGAGAGAGCTTGCTGAAGAAATAGCTGAAAAATATACGACATTGTTCTTTTTGTCTTTTTTTAACTTGTTGAAATGAGAATTTACGCTCTACTCAAGTATGTAAACGTAATTTAAGAGTAAAAATGTACATGTGGAAGAATTTAACATTTTATTTCTATCAAAAAATTAAGATTCATTGGGTAAAATATATTCCCATATAAAGTAAATTCCAATCATACTCGACTACTACTATTTAGCAACTACTGACCAGATTGAATATCAGTATTTATTAATTTCTAGTGTATGACCAGGGATTACTAAATTGCATTCTATTTCGTTGACTAGATTAGTGGACTTATTAGGGCTCATAAAACTCAACAAAAATACGCAGATGTAAACGATGTAAGAATAAACATACGTGTTTCCTTGTTAGTTGTATACAACTTTGAACCTAACATATATGCATCGGTTCAAGTTGCCGCACTATATCAGCTTAAAGAGACTCCAGAATATCATTATTGGTAGTACAAAAGGTAAGGTATGAAAAATATAGTTTCGGAATATATGAATTGATGAAATAGAACAAATCTTTATAAGGTAATTTAGAAACTTAGGATTTTAGGGAATACAAAAAATAAATGCGTCTGAGACATTGAGAAAGAACTTAAGCCATGTAACCCATATCTTTAACCACCAGTAACAGTCAGTAACAACGTAGAACTTCGTACGTATGTACATCAGTTTGAGTTGCCATACCACATTAGCACAGAGATGCAGTTGTCGATTCAAATCCAGTAGTGGTAGAGGTAGTAAGAATATAAGCAGTAATCGGAAAGATTAGGGTTTGAAGATGTTATTCAAGGAGTATAATAGAGTGAAATAAATTTGGAAAGAAAATAAGGAACATGAGAAATTCAGAAGATCAGAATTTTGGGAGAGCACAAAGAGTGGGTGCACCTGTGCCATTGCAAACGATTTTGAGCCATGTCATCCAGTAACAATAATCACGCCAACCGCAACCAGGTAATCTGAACCTGCCTGAAAGGCTTAGACCAACAGTCAATGATTTTAACGACTGAATCTGCATCTTAGCTTGGCCACTTTTTAGCTTTTTTCTACACAAGCCATCATAGACATCAAAAATGTTTACAGACATGTAAAGTTGACACCAGTAAGATGCAAGAGAAAATCAACAAGATAAAAGGGAATTAATGTAGGCCCCCTAAACATTTAATCAGGCCACCAAACGGAGAGATAAAGACTGTGCAGAAATTTGCATACTAACAATTCAATAGTGACATTTACATCTCTTCTGCATTTATGTGTTCGGACTGACACTATAACATGGATAATTGTTATAGATCGCTTTTCTTACGGTTATGACCCGGCTATTCCTATTGCTTAGTATTCTCGGACACCGATTCACTCGACAAGTCCCCAAATCAAAACACGGTTGAACAGGAAGAGATTATATTCCAAATAACAAGGTTAGATGGAAGTCAGAAGCCAGTAGGAAGCACAATAGGGGAAAACGTCGGTATATTTATAGTTTCTACATAAGAAGAATCCAGAATATTCTCCAACTATCGACTAGCGCTGATTGGATAAGAATTAGCCAATCAGCGTGCACCAAAGCAATCATGCATTGAGCATGCTTTAGTCTAGTCTATGTCCCGCTAACACCTCCCCTCTGAGCAGATTCGTAGGATCTGGTGCTAGGGTCCAACTGCAACTGAGTGACTGGCTTGTGCTTTCGATTAGTCCATCGTCTAGGCAATGAAGAATTCTCACTTTTTCCTTGCACAGAGACTGACATGTCTGTTCCCGGCGTTTTGATTTTTCTTAAAAAAAAGTATGCATAACTTTTAATTCTCCAACATTCTCCTCCTCCTCGAAATAATGTTGGGTCCTTATGGCTCCAAATTATAACTAGTAGGACTTTATTTAAACCATGTTTCTCGTATTGACTGGAGAATCCACTAAAAATGACTAGATGATGATGAACAACCTTTGATCTGAGTTCATTATTTTCAAATTCATTATGAATCTCGTT